ATATCATTTACCTTAATTTCTCAAAAGCTTTTGATAGGGTTAACCATATATGTCTTATCAGTAGGCTCAGACAATTGGGTATCAGACCACGTCTAATTGATTGGCTCAATTCATATCTGACAAATCGACATTTTAAGGTCAGAAATTGGAGATGCAACATAGTAGAACGGACTGCAGACACAACTTCTACTTCTTAAGAGTTATCAAATGCTGGAATTTGCTGCCAGCTGGGCTAGTCCAAGCGACTTCCCAGGAGTCCTTTAAGAGGCGACTTGATCTATTCTTAAGGACTAAGGATAGTATCTTACTATGATTTACCAATTTCTTCCTTTCTCTTTTATCGTTGTTTTACCTGGGTCCCCGCCTTGAGGTAATGATGCTCCCCTGCTACTAGACACGGAAGCCTTTGAAGCGAAAGCTTCTTCTATTCTGTCCACAACCATTTTCAGTTTTTCACGTAAAGGCTCTTTCATTTTATCTCATCCGTTTTTATACATTTTTCCCGTTTTGGTGTGGTTTTTAGTGTATTTTTAACGGTCTTTAGCTTTGATACTATCTCTAACATAGTTTACGTCAATACAGCCATGAAAAATTCATGTAAAAGACCTGGATGCCGTTACGCTGTTACATCTGGCATGCAGTGTGACAACTGCAAAGGTTGGTTTCACGAAACGTGCACAGATCTTACGGCAACGGCTTACAAGAGACTCAGCAAATCGGACCGTAAGTGGGTGTGCGTTACGTGCAACACGGACGCTGTAGTACTGCTGAGAAATATCATTGTTCTACTGAGAGGTCTGCGGAATAAATTGTCAGTAAACTTGGAAACACATAGCCATAAAATAGGTAGGCAAACGAGGGCGCGTAACGAAAATAAGAACAGGGATGTTGACAAGTCAACCATCGATGCACTATTGATGACATGTTGAAACTCAGCACCATCATTACGTTGACAATAATTGATTCCCCCACTAAAATTGGATCTCCCAGTTCAGGGTCCTTAAACGCAACAGTGGTTACTAAAAACTCTGCAGGTGATTGTACCCACGCCAACAGAGCTAATAAGGACCAGGTGTCACCGTCCAATGTTGACATCCCAAGTGTTGTACGGACATCAACTGGTGCTTTGATCGCTCAGTCTACCCCCAAAAATGTCCGCCCGGTTATTAAAAAGCCTACGACTCAAAAACCTGCTTCGACCTCCGAACAACAACGTACTGATTCTGAACGCACTGGAAAAGCTGGGAAAACAACGGTCCGTGACGACTCTCTCAGAATCATGAACCTCATAGACAATCCTGACCTTCCTCTCAGTTTGCAGGACAAAAATGACAGGATGCTCTGGGGTGAACTGAACAAAAAGCTCGAACTTCCTAGAATAGAGCCTTTGACGGTCACACGGCTCACTCGGGGAGAGGATTCTAAACATCAAAATCACCTGAGGCTACTTCGTGTAACACTTAAGAATGCTACCGACGTAGAGGATGTCCTGCTAGCCAGTCATCTACTGAAATCCGATGGGAACGTCAGAATACTGCCTGACATACCATATTCTGAGCGCAATCTCATCCGAAACGTCCCTAAAGATTCTCGAGAGAAGTTTCTCCGCGGAAGAAATATCATCGTGCAAAGTGTACCGGAAATCATGGACCCTACTCAAGCAAACTCTGACATTCGGGAATGGAAATTCATCAAACAGTCTTTGAGGCTTAAGAACATACTGTCTCAGCATGTGATGAGACTAGCCAAGAAGGACGGGGATCCTAGACCCCGACTAATGAGGATAACTTTTCCATCCTCCCGTATGGCGGCTGCAACTCTGGAAGGATTTCGTGCCAACAGACGTCGGTTGCCAACTGGGATCCATATGCACCCGGATAGGCCATACGACGCCAGGATCAAGCACAAAGGCAAGCTGGAACTGACCATTCCACTTGTGGACTGTCTTCAAGACAAAAAAACGTGTAAAGGACAGGGCCTACCAATTTAACAAAACTTATATAGGTGGGTTACCTGTCCACTCACGCAAGGCTCTCACAGACAAACAGGAAGAAGCTCACGCGTTTCAAATTGAAAGCATTAACTGCTTATACATGAACGCCGCGAGTCTACCAAATAAAATGGATGAACTAAGCGAACTTAGCAACGCTAATAAAGTTCATCTGATAAGAATATCTGAAACTTGGATATCTCCTCAGTATTCGGACCAGGAGCTAGCAATACCTAGGATGTCTCTGTTTCGCAATGACAGAAAAGCAGGAATTAGGGGTGGAGTAGCCCTATACATAAGATCTGGCCTGGAGGTACACCAAATCCACAACCACGAGTTTGACAATCTTGAGGAATCCATATGGTGCTCTATGAGATTGTCCACTACTTCGAGGTGCCTAGTCGGAGTCATATATAGGAAGCCCACTGCCGACATCGAGTATGACAGTCGCATTCTGGAAGGACTATCCCGCTCTACGCGTCTCGGTTTCACTCATATCCTGATTCTAGGGGACTTCAATCTGCCTAGAGTCAACTTCGCGGAACATACGTATATTGGAGGTGAAAATTCAATCGAAGCTCGGTTCTTCAACCTCATTGCGGATTTGGGACTACACGAAAATGTGAAGTTGGCTACTCCTTGGAGGAACGGTCAGACACCGTCGCGCTTAGACTGTGTTTTTACAAATGAAGAATTTCTAGTCGACAACCTCTCAATTCTGGCTCCCCTGGGGAAAAGCGATCACGCCGTTATAGCCTTCAGTTTCGTCAGCAAAACAGAGCTAAGATATCCCAACAACAACAGGCGCTGGAACTTCAAACGGTTGAATGCGTCAGCTCTACAGGACTATCTACAACAGGTGGATTGGGATGTTCACCCCCAACTTGATGTGGATGCTCATTGGAACTTCTTACTGCACACGCATTTATGTGCTACAAAGCAGTCAGTTCCTCAAACGGTCCCCAAAAGGCACAAGCAACCTACGGTCATCAAGAACCGCACTCTTCGTTTGTTAAGCCGTAAAAGGCACTGTTGGGCAAAATACAAACGAACTGACAACAACGGCGAGTACAGGCAATACAAACATATAAGGAACATATGTACGAAGGCTATAAGAGAAGACAGGCTTCAGTACCAGTTAAAGCTTATGGATAAATTTATTTCCAATCCGAAAAGCTTATTCCGTTATGCAGCCTCTCTTCGTCAAGCCAAAACTGGAGTTTCTCAAATGCTAGGTCCTAACGGCCCGACAGATAATGACGGTGACGCCGCTAACCTTCTGGCTGAGCAATACTCCCGGACATTTCGACCGACACACATCAACTGTAATGATGACGGCTTCATCTACAACTGCACAGGACTTTCCGTAGTGAAACTGAGCGCTGACATGGTGTTCCGTAAACTACAACACCTAAGAACAGACACTTCTCCTGGTCCATATATGGTCCACTCTGCTATTCTGAGGGAAGCAGCTTCAATCCTGACAACATCGCTTAGCGTGATGTCCTCACACTCGCTAAGTCGGGGCAAACTACCGGATATTTGGAAGCTGGCTCATATCACACCAATCTTCAAAGGAGGTCGACGCAGTGAACCTTCAAGTTACCGACCGGTGGCCCTTCTCTCTACACCTTCAAAGATCATGGAGTCCCTGATATACGATGATATACATGACTATCTGCTGTCCTTAAATTTCTTCTCACCCCAACAGGATGGTTTCAGGAAGGGTTATTCCTGTATGACGAACCTGCTGACCGCGGTGAACAGATGGACAAGCATCGTTGATCGCAAGGGGAAGGTAGACATCATTTACCTTGATTTCTCTAAAGCTTTTGATAGGGTTAACCACACATGTCTTATTAACAAGCTCAAACAATTGGGAATCAAACCACCTTTAATTGACTGGCTCAGTTCATATCTGACAAATCGACATTTTAAGGTCAGGGTAAACTTCAATTTCTCACAGGATATGGAATGTTTTAGTGGGGTTCCCCAGGGCTCAGTACTGGAAACTCTTCTCTTATTCATTTATATAAATGATCTTCCTCAACAGCTATCGTCAGACATATTGCTCTTTGCCGATGACGTGAAACTTTGGAGAGAGATACTCAACCAAGAGGACATACAGGCACTTCAGGAGGAACTGACTCGACTTCAAAGTTGGGCAGACGATAACGGACTTAACTTTAACACTTCAGAGTGTAAAGTAGTCCATCTGCGACACGTCGCAGATTACAGTTACAACTTAGGAAACTCCTCTCTAGTAGTATTCCGAGTCGATAAAGATTTAAGAGTTCTCACGCCAACTGTGACAAAAATGCCTTTCGAGCAAACCTTGCACTGGTAACGCTGAAGCGCATTTTTGGTCAGTTTGACGGGAGAACTTCTCACATAAACTTCAACAGTTTTATTCGTCCCCATTTAGTGTACGGAAACATAGTATTTCCTCCTACACTCCAAAAGGATAAGGACACTCTGGAGCGTATCCAACGGCGAGCCACGAAATCAGTTCGGAGACTCAAATTGTAACAACACGAAGAGTGCCTCCAATCACTCGACCTCTACCCATTAGAGTATAGGCGTCTTAGAGGTGACCTTCTAATGGCTTACAGTATCCTTAACACACCTGGACATCCTCTTAAACACCTACTTAAGCTTAGTCCCAACACTAACCTAAGGGGTAACACCCAGAAACTGGAAATACAACATAGTAGAACGGACTGCAGACACAATTTCTACTCCTTAAGAGTTGTCAAATGCTGGAATTCGCTGGCAGCTGACCTAGTCCAAGCAACTTCCCAGGAGTCCTTTAAGAGGCGACTTGATCTATTCTTAAGGACTAAGGATAGTATCCTACTATGATTTACCAATTCATTTTCTCTCTCTTTTATCGTTAATATACCTAGGTTCTTGCCTGAAGGCATTGGTGATCCCCTGCTACTAGACACGGAAGCCTGTTAAGCGAAAGCTTCTTCTATTCCGTTCGCAACCATTTGAACCATTTGAATCATTTGAAACGCGCTTTTCGTATACTGCGTTACAATGCAGTAGATGTTCGCCTCACAAATGAGATTATGTAAGTATTTCAAATATTGTGAATTCTATTCTATTTTTGTCTTTATTTATTTGGAATGTTACTCATAGTACACTCTCTATACTGTTTTGAATCACAAGTTATTCCAGCTTTATACGGTCGCGAAGTTTTTCTGTGACTGAAGTCATAACCTACGGCGATTTAACGAGTGACCTTTAGGTTAACCAAACAAAAATAGCTCACAGAATTTCAGTTTTCGTTTAGGATCTCCAAAATACAAGAAAGTAACGGTCACGGACGATCAGATATCTGATCGTTCATAATATTATGAATTTATAAATCCATCAAATTCCAACACCTATGAAGTTCCGAAACCCTAGTTTCTAACTTTGTCTTATCAAAGTCATACGCATTTAATTTGTGTCGTCAATACTATGCCTTCTACTTTTAACTATCTTAGAGTCTTTAGTGTTTTTTATATGTGTGTCAGGTTCGAAATGTTTTTTTCATGAACGCTCATTATAATTTAGCATTCCTATTCCCTTCACACTGCACGAATTAAAGAACTATGTTAAGCCCTGTTTTTATTCAGATCTAGGCGATTTCACGTTAAGGTTGTCCAAAGTTCAGAGTGAGTGATACATGACCTTAGTAGACGTGGGTTTTTATTTCCAGCCGCGAATTATCCTACCTACAGGTGACTGGAGATAGAAGGTCATCAACTTTTATTCACTGACTAGAACCTCCTACTTAAGTATACTTTTCCGTGATTGAATTATCCCCAGGAAATACAATATCACTATGATTGGTCAAGATTCGGAACTGGTTACACTGAACTGTTTCCCACCTTACGTAATATTAGGAATTTTTTCGTCCCACTACTCATGTCAGAATATGTGGTCATCCCTCTTAACAAATCCTGGGCCAGTGGTTTACTTTTTTTTAAATTCCTGCCCTAAGCTTAATCCCGTTTTAACCTAAGAGATTCGGCTGATTGTGTGAATTGTTTGTCTGTACATCAGTTATTAGGCTTCGTCTTCGGACCTTGGTGGACTTTGAATTTAAAAACTGGTTGGTGTCATTACTTTTCATTATCACTCAAGCTAAGTACAGAAACTCTCGTTTAGTCATTGAGTTATATGATGAAGTTTTCAATTTGGTTTTCTTAGTCTTTACTGTTGGACTCACAACAGTAAAGCCATCCTGTCGAAACTATCGTTTGTCTCTAACTGTATTTACATAGTCTTACATAGTTTAGAAAAGCTTTGTCTAATATCTGGAACACTCAGTGATATCGCTAGATCCTTAATAACTACTATCTGACATTTCAGCAAAAAGTTATTGGGTGTATTAATCAGTCCCTTATTTTGTCGTTGGAATGGAGGTGCGTTGTGTTAGCTCACATATCCTTCATTATTAGAAAGAAAGAATAAAAAGTGTGATCGAATTCTTCTCTACTCCATTGGATGAAGAGGAGCTAATCGATGGAGAAAGTAAACCCGATGAATTGTACACTCTCTGTGATGATCCTATGCAAGTACCCATCAAACTCATCGATGAACAACTAAGGTTCGTTGATCTTGCAACAGTTCAAGACCTTTTTGTTGACAATTCAGGATTTCTCGTTGTTGGCGCGATTGGTTTACAGGTAACCATAGATTTTTTGATCTTCTCTCGCGAATGTAGGGTTCAGGTAAATCGTCTGTATTAAATATTTTGGCGAATTGCATTTCTGACGGTTGTGGAGTTTTTGATGCTCCTTTCAATATTCAAACTCTCAAGGATGTAGTAACTAACAGCCCGTGTACTGCTGGTATTAACTTATATATCACACAAGATCGTGTAATTCTTCTGGATGCCCAAGTAACTTTTCTGTTTAAATTGAGTGTATAGGCTGTGATCTGTATTTGTGTTTTCGTTATATGTATAAACCTTGGTGCTCGATTTAGTCGCTTTACTTTATTGCATTTTTAAATTGCCGTTTAGTGACTAACTAACCAAAATAAGACGCTAGTACGAAAGTAGTGGTCGTTTTCTGTCAAACTAAATATCTCAGGGGTTCAAATATTTGTTAATGCAGGGTTTTTGTACTAAATCGTGCTACTCATACTTCCTCTTGTACACCCATATATTTTCAGTAATTAACGCATTTACTGCTCTATAGCTGGGAGTGATAAGTTTATTTATTTGATTTATTTAACGCACAAGTAATGGTAGAAGTGGGCACCAAAAGCAAATGTGCAGCACATTAATAAGAGAATAAAATCGTGAAGTAATGTATTTTCCTTCCTATGGTAATACGATAAAATATCAAACTTTTACGATAGATATGTTATAATCTGATCATTATATAATTTAAAGATTGTTATTCTTAACTGTACTTCCTTCATAATGTTCTGTTTTGTCAGCCTCTTCTTTCATTTGCACTCACCAACTACCACACTCACTTGGTTGCTACTGGTAATATAACGTCTTCGTCTTCGAGTACTCATCCAGGGCTTTCATCTCTTACAGGTCCTGGTAATTGGAACATGAATATTTGGGCTGAAATGGCTTCTATGCAGGTCGGTTAAATTTATATAAATCAACTTAAATATAACTATTGACTCGTACAACAATTTACTTATCGAAAAGGATTCTTTTGATAATTAAATTGGTTTGTGCAAATGTTTGATGATTTGAGATGGAAAAGATTTGTAGCTCAGGTCGATGATTTTGATGAAGTTTTTTTCTCTGAGCTGGATGATTTGGTCGTGGGGCTCTCATCGTTATTTCTGGACGACATCAGCACAAACTTCAGATAGGAGTGAAGTGTTCGAATTTCTCCACATATAATTCACAGTTTGTCCTGCAGACCTCAAGATCGAGCTTCACGATCAAACCGTCCAGCTCAGAGAACAAAACTCCACCAAAAAGTTTACCGTCTGTCTGTAAATATTTGTTCTTTTGTGCATTTCATTTTCATAGAACGGTTATCATCTCAAAGTTTTTGTTTGTTAGCAAATTAACGTCCCCATAGAATAATTAAAAGTAGAGAATATTTGAGCAGACAGTCGTTTTAAATAAACTTCTCTTTATGCCCTTCACTTATAAATCCATAAATTTTATTTTACATTGTATGGTCTGTCATGGCATGCATATGAAAACTATGGTTAATTTGTTCTATGTTAAAAGTTGAAAGTAGTATATTTCCCATCAGTTGTGTCTAAATTGCTGAATAACAATACAAAATAGAATAGATATCATGTCGTAGATATTTTAATGATATTATTAATAGTAATCATGGTAATAACAAGAATGTTATGCAAATTAAGGAATGTGCAGCTAAGAATATGTCATTGAAGAGGATTGGCAAAGTTATATATGAACGGAGCAGTGGGCAAACGTTTATTGTATATGCTGATAATGTCAGTTGTATTGCGTATGAGATGAGCCTATTTCGGGTATGACATATAAGGCTAGATACACAGAAGCTATCAGTGTTATTCACAAGCTGTTCTACCCATCATTCATAACTTATCCTTGATTTGCTGCATTATTATAGTGTTGGTTGATGCAACATGTTATTCACTGGCATTAGACTTCGTTTTAATAGATCTATTCAGTTGATGTGTTAGAATGTCATTAATCTAATTTCTTTTCTAAGTATGTTTCTTTTATACGGAAATACCCGATCTTTCGTAGAAGAGCAAAGCGAACGATACCATGCTTCCCTTTATATTTGAAACTAACTAGCAGTTATGCATTATTATAGGTGTGTAAACGTTCCCGTTGATTGACTGCTTAGTTATATGCAAACAGTGTGTCATATAAACAACGGTAATATTTAAATGCATTTAATTTTCAGTATAAATGCCCGCTTTTCATTTTCGCCAATAAAACTCTGAGCACTTTACGACTAAAACGACCGTCATTACATCAGAGTACTGTCTCGAAGTTCGTATCTAAAACGCCAGTCGGCCTAAAAAGTGGAAGTTTCTTATTTGTCATCTAAGATTTTATAGACATGAGGATATAATATCTGATCTTTGATATGATACGTCATTTAACGAATTAGATATATTTCTGTTATTATTTTATGGCTCCCAAATGCCCTAGTATGGCTGAGGGGTGGGCTCGCCCTCCCTCTATAAATACTCTCACATGGCCACGCGTATACAACCTCTGCCGGGGCAGTCCTCACTGCTTTCTCGTGTCGGGGGTGTTGTTTACAAAAATGAGAGGACAAAAAGCAAATGTCCGGTGCTTTGACCGGATCCCAAACCAATGGTGCACATGGGCTCCAGTATCCTGCGGGAACAAATCGTGTATGAACCAATCGTTGGTCACCGGCTACCATGGGACTGCATCTCCTCACGATGCTCCACTGCCTTGTGGATCAGACCTTCAGGTCAAAGGCTCAGGGTATGACCCCCTAAGAAAACCATCTGCTTCGGTCTGGGCACCAGGACAGTATCTCAGCCTACACACAAATATGGTGAAATATCGATATTTATGGAAAATACTTTTCTTGCTTCGATTAACAATCAAACGATTCACATTATTATTATTAGTGTTATGGAAAATATTCTCTTCGCTCCGATTAACGATGAAATGACTCGCATTATTATTATTATTTACTACGTCATTTATTCACTCTCTCTTATTCCCACTTTATGTATCCTTATTTTTCGACGTATACAGCAGCTCGCCTATGGTGGAAATTCGGTTCTATCTAAACGTTCCCGAGTCACTGCCTGGTTGAAAATTGTTTGTTACCACCGAATACGAGTACTGAAGCAGTTTTTATGAAACCACGTGCACCATTCAAACTGGCTACCTTCAACGTTCGCACACTTATGCAGGTCGGACAACAGATAGGGCTGGTTATGTCTTTGGAAAGTCTTAATATTGACGTTTGTTGTCTATCCGAGACCCGTATTCGACACTCTGGTGAAGTACTACAAGTTCGCTTTCCATCTGTCGCTTCAAAAAGCTTGTTTTACGTGCGTTTATTCGGAGACCCTGTGGCGTCTTCGTCTGGTCTTGCTGGCGTTGTTGTCGCACTAAGCGCTAGAGCTGAGGCAGCACTAATCGATTGGATCCCCATTAACAGTCGGTTATGTGCTGTTAGATTAGAAAGTACCATCAAAGTGGAAGAAATCGGCGTGAGAAACGATGTCTTTTCGTCACCTGCACCTATGCTCCGACAGATTGCAGCGCGGATGCAATCAAGGATGAATTCTGCCACCAGTTAACTGTTCTTCTCCAGAAAGTGCGTTCGACAGATATTGTAGTACTAGCTGGAGACTTGAATGCTCAGGTCGGGCGTCTAGGCACAGAAGAGAGTCGTTTAGGTGGCCGATGGGGACTTGTTGGTCGCAGGACAGATAACGGGGACCGTCTACTGCAACTGTGCACAGACCACAACCTGTTTCTGGTTAGCACTAACTTTCGGCACAGTCATCGCCGATGTGCCACCTGGCATCCTTCCTCAATATGTCAAGCCTGGACTCAGATTGATCACATCGCGATCAGCTATCGCTGGCGTGGTTGTGTACAAGACTGCCGCTCTTTTTCGAGTACCTATCTGGAATCTGATCATGTCCTGGTCTGCGCCAATCTTACCTTACTTTTCAGTGGCCATCGAAGTGACCACCACCAAAGGATTGATGTTAGCAAGTTGGTTGCAATTTATGTTGCTAGTAAGTACCGAACCGAGCTAGCTTCTAGGCTAGCTACGATTCCACCGAAAAGTATAGATGAGCATTGGTTGCAATTGCATGACACCATGAAAATGGCGGGTCAAGTCAGTTGTGGGTTCACGAAACGTCCCGCTTACAAGCACTGGGTTTCTTCATGCTACTTACAACCCATTGAAGCCCGTCGGTCTACTGCATTTGACCGTGCGTTTGACCACAAACGAAGGATGTTACGTATTGAAATTGGGCAAAGCTTGCGTAAGGACCGAGAGGCCTAGTGGTCGGAGCGTGCTAATGAGCTGGAAGCAGCAGCTGCATCTGGTAATTACCGGAAGCTCTTCCAACTCATCCGAGCCACTGGCAGCAAGAAGTCTGGTGTGAGCGAAACAATCTGCGAGGATGACGGGATGCCAATCACTAACATCCATCGACGTCTTGGACGATGGGCAGAATTCTTCGAAGAGCAGTTCAACTGGCCTGCTGCTCCGGCAACATCGGTCAGACTGTCCTGCCCTCCATGGCCGGTGAAGACTGATCCACCAAATGAAGCGGAAGTCCGCAAGTAACTCCAACTCTTGAAACGCTACAAATCATCATGCCCAGATGACTTACCTCCGGCTCTTTTTAAAGATGGTGGTGACTTCCTGGCTAAGGAACTGACTGTGTTGTTTACAAAGGTCTGGGAACTAGAGAGTATACCAACGTCATGGAATGAGCCTGTAGTTGTCCCTATCTTTAAAAAGGGTTCACGTCGTTTCTGTAACAACTATCGGGGGATAAGTCTACTTCTGATTGCGTCCAAGCTATTGGCTTCCGTTATACTTCGTAGGTTGTTCGAAACCCTAGAAAGATTGATTCGCGAGGAGCAGGCTGGGTTTTGTTCTGGTTGAGGATGTATTGATCATATCTCTACTATCCGCTAAATGTTGGAACACTGCCATACTTATGAAAGGCCAACAATCGTAGTGTTTCTTGATATCAGGGCTGCCTTCGATTCGTTGGACAGGACTGTTCTCTGGGATTGTCTATTGAAGAAGGGTGTGCCTGAGAAGTTTATTAACATCCTAAAGGCCTTATACACAAACACCTCAGGCAGAGTGAGGGCATACAACCACCTTTTTCCATTATTCCATTCGAGCAGTGGGGTTAGGCAGGGTTGCCCAATCTCAACATTCCTCTTCAACTTTGCCATCAATGAGATTCTGGCAACAGCTCTGATGTATGTAAGTAATGGTGGTGTGAATCTGTTGCCTGGAGAAAGACTTCTCGACCTTGAGTATGCGGATGATATTGTCTCACAGTGCGAGAATGCCCAAGCCATGCAATCCGCACTTAATCAGTTGGCAATCAGTGTCCGTAGGTATGGTATGTGCTTTGCACCTTCGAAGTGCAAAGTACTTCTACAAGACTGGCAGGATTCTAATCCTGTACTCACTCTGGATGGTGAGCAGATAGAAGTAGTCGAGAAGTTCGTGTATCTAGGTAGCTGCATAAGTGATGGTGGTGGGTGGTGTGAGTGATGAGATCAATGCACGTATAGTGAAAGCCAGAGCGGCTTATGCCAATCTGGGCCATCTTTGGCGCCTTCGTGATGTTAGTCTGGCTGTAAAAGGTCGGATCTACAACGCGTCAGTGAGAACAGTTTCGCTCTATACTTGTGAAACCTGGCCTCTCCAAGCTGAGGATGTTAGACGACTCTCTGTGTTCGATCATCGCTGTCTCTGAAGGATTGCTGACATTCAGTGGCAACACCATGTTAGTAATGCAGAGGTTCGACATCGTGTGTTCGGTCACAGAGACGATAATGAAATTGGTGTCACCATCTTGAAACACCGACTTCGGTGACTTGGACATGTTCTACGAATGTCGTCCCAGAGAATTCCTCATCGTGCATTATTTGCCGATTCTGAGACTGGTTGGAAAAAGCGGAGAGGTGGTCAGTATATGACATGGTGTCGTGGTATGAAAGAAAGCTGCAAAGGGCTAGCTTCTGTTGGTCCTTCACGACTCCCTGGCTGTGGTCCGAGAGATGGTGTAACACAGTGGCTAGAAACGTTATCACATATGGCTCAGATTAGAAGCCAGTGGCGATCCTGCTGTAACCTTCTTTTACTTTCTTCGTAAAAAGTGGTTGTATCTTCCTTAACTGAAAGATTTCTTCTAATTGTGCCTTTTCGTTTCCCCCATTATTATTACTATTGCACTACCTTACACTAATCTATTCGTTTTTGTTCTTTTTTTGCTCTCCTTACCCTCCTTTCTTTTTTTCCCTTCTCTTTAAATTCTCATTGTTTTGTGTGGCGCATATATATTTGGTGCCCTATTTCACCAATATTTATGTATTCAAATAAATAATAATTCTAGTTTTTTTTCACAGTTTTGTTTGTAATTAATTCTGTTGTTTATCGACTAATTTGTTGAATTAACAAAAATACCTCGTGAATAGTTACTAGATTTATACATGTGTCAGCATAATTTTGCCATTTAAGACTAACAAAACTTACTATTTAGTCCATATCTTTTTTACTTTTTCTATATTAAATACTATCTGTAATAATGTGTACTTCTGAAGCGGTTCAACTGAGTAAATAAATCAATAGATAACTTTTAACTACAGAATAATAATATTTACAAGACGACTTTTCTTAAGATATTTGTCATTTAAAATAGGAATTGCGTTACTAGTTATATATCTGCCTTTTCAAACCATTATTCACTTTCTCATTGATGTGTTCAGCATACATAACCAAATCTATGAACAGTCTTATCATTATACGGTTACTATATTTATTAGCCCAATTCAGCTTGATAAAAATATGATTTAACAGTAACGTTAGTTTGGCCATATGATCATTAATTTGATGAGTGTTTCTTATGACAATATGTATTATACTCGCCTTTATGAAATTTATTCCGTGTATCAACATATTTTTGTATACATCATGTACATCAAACATGTTTCCGCTATATGATTAATTCATAGTCTTCACTATCTTATGAATAAATCAATACGCTATCAAGTCTAAATGACATAATAATAATTTTTTTCGTTTGATGCATTTTTGTTTTAAATCTTAGATTGTCGCCTTTCTAATAAATGTATGTCATGTTGTACTTGTTGTCAGTGATAATTTAACTACTGCTTCAACTCAGTTACACCGGTTTATCGATAGAGCAATAGGTCTTAAACCAACTGTTTTTACACCGAATGCCATGCCAATCCATGCATTACGTGGTCGTCAACATTCTGATATACATAAAAAGTCATCAGATAGTACTAAGAATTGTACAGATATAAAAAATTTGACAACTAGTGTACAAGGTTTACAAATTTCTGATGTAAATAAAGTTAATCCATCTATTATCAACAAAAATAATAAACGTTTAGAAGTTGAAGATGTTGATATTTCATCTTTGTCTGAACAACAACAATTTGTTGGGAATTATTCTACATCAAATAACATTCTTGGACAATATCTTCATTCTACTGAAGCTGAGTCTAAAGATGTTTCAAATGCAATCAATCGACTGATAAGTAAGTTAATGTGTATACATATTTTGTAATTTATTCTTGTTTTTGCAGTAATGAACTATATATTTCAATAACTATTAGTTATTACTGATGTTGACGATTTGATAATTTACTTGTGAAAATGATTCTCATATCCTGATATAACAAACTTAATAAGTTGAAATCTCTAATTGATTCTAATTAAGAATATATAAATATAGTGGAAATTTAAAACTATTACTTATATTTTCATAAATATCCAACCAACAAAAAAAAGAGAGAATATTTTGTTTTTGCATGTCGATCATACATGTTTAAATCCAGTAATAATTATAATAAAGGACTTTTATTCAATTCTAATAGTTGCTTTTGTTTAAAAAAATATAAATCTATAACTAATCTTACTTAGATCTATTCTCAGAAGCTTGTGATTTAATTATTAAAGGGTTAGATCTATCATATATTCTGATATCAATATAGGATACCATTCGATTTTGATCACCTATTTAAAATTGTTGCATGTTATATTATATGCATTCCTGTTTTAAATAATATAATATATTATAATGGTTTTAAGGCATTGTGTCGTTGGGGTCCTAGTGATAGTGCAAAACAGTGGCTAGAGGCGTTATCAAATATGGCTCAGAATAGAAGCCAGCGGCAATCCTACTGTAACTTTATTTTACTTTCTTCATTAAAAAAAGGACGTAACTTCTTTAAGTGGAAGAATTCTCTGTGGCTGTACTCTTCCTAATTGAGCTGTCTCTCCCATTATTATTATTTCACTATCATACACTAATTTCTGTTCATTGTTGTACTTCTCTTCCCTTATATGCACTTTACATTTCTTATCATTATTATTGTGTGACATATGTATCTGGTGCCACTTTGTACCAATATTTATGTGTTGTCTGAAAACTGAATGATTTTATTTGTTTATAAAAATTTAATTCTTGAAAATAATAATAACTTATATTAAGTTCAATTTTTCCATTTCGATTTATATTCATTATATACGTTATAAACTGAAACTTTTCTTCTATTAAGTTTATGCAGGTAAATTATCCTTTATGGGTGAAGTTAATAAAGCTAAGACAATCTCTTAGAATTATCACAATTGTAGACAATGAAATTTTGATTACCTTAATCAAAAAATTTTATCATTCCTAAAAATTAGTCTGATTTCAAAGATGTTTGCTTGATTTTAATTCTATCAATTATATAAGATCTATCATAATCTTTCATTCACATCAACTCATTTGCAGCTATATTAATCTACTTTTCCTTGATGTATTTCTTTTTATTGAATAGATTTAACTGATTATTCAGCCTCATTAATTCATGTATATAATCAGGCCCCAGCAGCTGCATTTCTTGACCCGGTTGTGTGTGAAAAATTAAATAGGTATAAGAATAAAATACTACCACTTATGTACCCAGAGTACAGAAGATTAGTATCACTTGTTACTGTTGGTCCAAGAATTTTATCCGCTCACCTTCAGTCACGAAATCGTGATCAACCTACAACTGCACGTCAAAACTCTGAACAAAATGATACTCCTATTGAAATAAATCGAAACACTACTGACGTAAAACTAACTAAAAACAGTTCAGAAAATCGTTTAATCCCTGACAATTTTGTCGCGCAAGATTATTCAGGTTTTCTTGATACTCAGGAAAATTCTGTCTTACCTACTCCATCAGGACTTTCCGAACCGTCCTCAGTTTCATCAGACAAAGGGTTTGCATCATCACAAAAACCTTCGAATATCAGCGCAGAAACGTTGACTTCAGTGCAAGTTGATAATGAATCAAAATCTAGTAAGTTTATACTTAATGTTCTTTCTGATTAATAGTTTTGAGTTTTTTTATTAGACTACACATGTTTGTAGATTTCTTACAACCTAAACTTACTGTAGAAGTTTAGAACAGTTACTTGTCCTGAGAATTATAGACGTGATAAAATTTAAACCAAAGGAGTGATAATTATTATTATGAATAATGCTGCATAAAACGTTACAGGAGCCCAAAATGACCTGGTACGGGAAAGGGTAGGGAGAGTCCTCTTTCCATCTCAAGACGCCCTCATATAATTACGCTTACATAGCTCCTGCTAGGGGTAACCTGATCACTGCCTTCTCGTGGTGGGGGTGTTTTTTACAAAATTGAGAGGATGAAAAGCAAATGTCCGGTGCTTGAACCGGGTTGGTCGTTACGAATGACCCACCTAGGGTAGTTGTAAAACCCTGATTCCAAACCAATGGCGTCATCGGCCACCATGGGGCCTCATCTTCTAACATTCCTTCACTACCCTGTGGGTCGGACATCCAGGTCAAAGGCTCGTGGGATGGTCACCTTAAAAAGTCACCTGCCTTTGTTTGGGTAACCGGGCAGTATCCCGACCGTCAAAAATCTGTGTAATGCATATACATTTTAGTGCCCCTTTGTGCCAATGTTTATGTGTTTAAATAATAATCTTATATTGTGTCTGATAGTCCCTAGGTAAATATTTTTGTCTAATTCATTCGATGTCGGTATCTGCATTTTTACAGAACGGTAGTTTAGGTGCTGAAACATCCAGCTTTCAACAAGTAGATTACAGGTTCACTTTGGGTAATCGACTAATACCTCTAACTTCTACACAAGCAGTGTGATTTAAAGTTGTATACCTGAACCTGTGTTTGTTGAACGAGTTAAATTAGACTTTTCGTACAGTGATTAGTAACCATATTTACTTTAAAACAAAGGTGTGATTGTACTCATTTAAAGGAACCAGCACGAACTATTTGATCTAACATTTATTCATATAGTAAAAAATATTGTAGAACAAAACAATTGGTAACAGGATTAATTTTAGATAGAAATTACAAAGGGTTTATATATTACGTATACATAGCCTTCGATCATGCATTTGCATCTTGCGATGTGTTCTGCGGTCTAAACCGTTTTCTCGTCCGATCATCAAGTGTTATTCCTACGTCATGCTTTTGATGTATTGAAACTCTTCTCAGTCTGACGATTGTGATAACTTTGACTCCACGTCCCGCTACACATTACAAGCAATCTTGAGTGTAGCGTCCACCACATACGATTTTTTAGAGGAATCTTACGCTAGTACTTAAAAAATGTTTCATTATGATGTCAGACTCTCTTTTCAAAACTTACCATTAGTATTTAAACTAGGGTAACTGTTCAATACAAACGAACTTCTCATACCGTTCGATTGATATGGGTCAACATATTAAATTTTCCTAGAAATCTGTTCTAATTAGTACACATGGAACTAATTCACACAATTTTTTCAGGACTATGATAAAATGTAATGATAAATAAGACAAAGTGACCATTAGGGAACAGCGTTGGCAGTTATGGTTTTTAAAAAAATGCATCCAAACCATCTCAAAAATATTAACTTTAAGAATGACAACTTACATTTTCAATATTTATTCACCATAGAGAAATGGTAAACTTGGAAGTTATTGTCCTACTAATATTGTCTTTTATATCAAAACAAATTAATAACACTAGTTCAACATCAATGAAATTAATAGTAAATCTAGGTTATACGGAATTTCTAATATGGCTTTTCATTCCAAAGTAGAGAGGTGGATTACAGTAGTTTGGTGTTCATGTTTAAACCACCAGTTTGTAGTTTGGAATCCCACTCCGTCCATTTTGAATTGACTAACCGAATAGTAATATTACAAGCTCTAATATCGAGTTAATTTTAAAGTCGAATATACGAATCGGTGCTCAGTAAATAAGATACATTCATAGTAAGTTCACCACCAAATATAATACGAAAAACTGTATTTTCTAATTTGTCCACGTTCTTAAAATATAGTCTGATTTGTTGAGAGGCGTTGGTAGTAACATAACTTTGTCCGTTTAAAACTAACTAAAATCTAGCAGGGAATGCTATGTAATAGGGAAAATGTCTGTAGTTTCATCTTCGTCTAGAAACACCAATTTTGACAAATTCATTTTCACATAGTAATAGTCATAGGTTCATTAATTCATTTCACAATTAAAGCATAATTATTTTTACCAAAGATTTAAGTTTTTACTTATAATGTATAACAGATACTGACACCTATATTGTTGCGTGGTAACATGTTCATAGTTTTTCATTAAAAACGCTTCATTTTAATTTTTAAAAAAAACAAGTAAGATTTATGTTTATTATTATTTTACATTATTTTCAAGATCCAAACCACTGTTTAACTTCATTAAATACAATTCAAGAAAAATCAAAACCTTTTCCTGGTGAAAAACCTGATGGGTTAGTTTATCTCAGATTAATCTATATAATTTTAATCATTTGGGCTTTTTCCCTTATATGCTGAATAAGAAACATCTTTGCTAGTTGTTTAATATTCGCTTTGTTTTGTCTAACACTAACAGTATAAAAATAATTCCCAACTTATAGGAGCGATCTTTATTGAGATTTTATGACTGATAACATACTACAGTCATGTGATCGATAGATTCTGTACTAAATTATGTAACTATTACTACGTAGTTTTTTCTTCCTAGTAATCAACTGATCGTTTTTCATCGACTTACTAATATAATATATCGTAAGATCCTTTTTGTTTGAAAATCAAGCTTATACTCACCAAATAAATAAAGAGGATAATTCAGAATAATAATGGCATGTTCTAGAATTGTACCGAACTTCAGTACCGTACGTTTTTTCAGATTGTGACCCTAAATGCCATTGGTTCGTTTCCCTTTTTTAATATGTTATTTTGTGATGTTTCCCAAGGACATTTTTATGCTGTATATAGACACTTGAGCTGTGTGCTTGTTGTTGTTCGTGCTTGTGGAATATATTTTTCCGTCATCTGAACCGAGTCTTCTCTCTCTAGCTAGCAGGACTGAGAGAGTCAGATCTCCTTGTTGAATTGCTCTCATATGTTCGCGTGCATACAACCACTGCCAGGGAAGTCCTACTCACTGTTTTATCGTGGTGGGGTTGTTTTTTACGAAATTGAGAGGACAAAAAGCGAATGTAGGGCTCCAGGATCCTAAGGAAACAAATGGAGTATCAGCCTATTGTTGGTTGTGGCTCCCGAAGAAAACCATCTGTTTCGGGTTGAGCAGCTGGGCAGTATCCCAGCCCTCACATAAATCGAATGGTTTATGTGGCGCATATCTATTTAGTTCCTCCTTGTACCAATGTTTATGTGTTTAAATAAATTAACGTTTTAAACTAATTATCTTGTGTGTAGCTGAAGAGCAAGCAAATATTTACAACTTATTCATTATATTCCGTAAATGTCGCTTATGCTTTGTTTAAATTTTTTCCGCATTTCACAATTTTATAGGTACATTCCCTTGGATAACAGTAACAATGATAGTAATAATTATGTTAAAAAATTTGGCTTATCGGAATCAGAGATTGTATCGCAATGTTGCAGTGTTTTACACAATGTAGAAGATGAACTCAATTCTATTTTAAAACACACTAACTTATCCGCTGGTGTAGACCATCACAAGAAGATTGTAGAGAAACGATCAGGAATATTAACGGCCGAAGGTCAGCTCCTTGATAATGATTTACTGCATATACCTGGTATTAATGGTGAGAAGTTGAATGCCAGTCTTGTTCAAATGTATCATGATGTACAGACTACTAGATGTAACTTTTTCGATGTTCAAAAGCGATTAGATCAACCAAGATTATTCTTGATACCAGAAGTTGACGATGAAGGTTAGTTGTTATATTAATGTACTAAAAATAATCATTGTCGAAATAGGAACATGTGCGATGTAATATATATATATAAGTTTACAAATCCAGAGCCGTTTTTAGCTACTTCTAATCGAACATTGACGTATGGATTTAAGCAATTGATATTAGACGACTGAATATTATTTCAAATGCTTCAGTTTGAGCAGTTAGGTAGTATCAGTAGCCGTCATACAAATAAAACTTTAGTTTGCATCCTATGCTTTCTTATACTCATCCTTATGGCATTAGTTCTTAAGCTTTAGGTTATCCATAAAGGGTTTGCATTATATGATTAAAGAAAATCAATAAAGAGCATTCATTACTGTTAACGAAGACATTTTATAAGTTTTCTCCGGTTCAAAATGTCACTTAACTGAGTGTTAAATGTTTTGGTTAGTTTAATAAATAACCCACGCGAGTAGACTCTATCCGAAGTGCTTCCACTGTTTTTTTGCATTCAGCTTATCTAGATTATTTTATAAGAGTTTAGATCGAAATCTTTTGAGTTACTATGACAAATTTCGTTGATATTGCATGTCAGATTTCTTCTGTTTCCGAAGTATTATGTTCGAAATTTTCCAAGTAACTAGATATACATTTGATAAGCACTCTTATTTTTACAATCATCGTAATACGAGTGGTATGTCAAGCAAGCTGTGATTGATTAATGAATGCAGATGGACATCTTGGCATGCTAAATGTATGAGACATTATAAATATTGAAAATTATTTCTTACTATGAATCCCACTATGTGTGGACTCCTTGTATTATGTCCTAACAAAACTTACCTATAATCTGGTTCTTAATTGTTGGCTAGAGTTTCTTATCTATATGTCACCTGATCTAGTTTTCCCAATCTGTTATTCAATCTTATATCATTGTATCGTCGTATTCCGTATAGGAGTACAAGTTTATTTTGCCGTTACATTCACATGTTAACGAGGAGGTGTATCACTAATGTATCTCAAACAAAGTCTATTAAGTAAATTCCAATATTTAGTATTATGCGCTAACAGTGAGTAGTGAGATAACTGGCCTACAAATATCTATCCCTATTCTGCGAAGTCGTTGCATCTTTTTATAGATTTCCAAGTTCTTATTCAAATTAAATATCATAAATAATTTGTCTGCTACTCAAACGCTTGGTGCTAACATCCTATCCTCTTTCTAGGTTCCTCATACACTCTTAGATTGGAATCCCTTATGGTAGAGAAAAGGGGAGAAGTCAGAATAGAAACTTTACTTCTAGATCAATTTATGTATAGAGAACAAATTTATTTGTAGGTTTACTGGTAGCGTTGATCGATTAGGAACTTCCGGTAAAACATTAAAATTGCTAGCGAAACGGGTAATTATGCAATCGAATTTTAACATATCCTTAGTTTTTCCGCAAAGTTTCTATTCAATGTTGATTGGGCGAAATAATTTTAGCCCTTTTCCGGCTTCTGGGGACATTCTCAGTGAATTTTGGGCGACTCTCAGCAGTTTATGGAAAATTTTAATGGTAAACGAAGTTTATTTGATTTGTGTAAGTAGAAGCCTTTTACAATCCTAATTTTGTCTACATGTACTTCAATCTGTTTCGGATAATGCTAGAAGTTTTTAAAAGAAATAGAATTAATAGTATGTCATCCATTATCGATGTATTGGTTTAGTTTAAAATATCCAGTATTAACGAAATCAACCTAGGTTTTATGTTGTTTAAATTTGGCCAAATAAGCTATTTTAACTATCTTACAATTTGAGCGTGTGCAAATTGGACTTTAGAAATTTTTTAATTTCTCTATTTGCACACATTCTTAGGACATTCACCATTAGGGTGTCCAACATACTTAGCATCAGCCCGTATCTTACAAGAAGCTGTTTTCTCTACACCTCGACAACATATGATGCCTAATTTTACAGAGAAGAAATGGTATGTTTTAATTTCATTTACCCCATAAAACACGTATTTTTTATTTAGGATAACATATGTTCATAAAATGTGGGATGCTGTAATACATTCCCCTTTGCTCCTCGATTATCATTCTGTTCGGATGAATCAGATTTAAATGTTGTTACTTTTAAAAGACTGTCTAATACTATATTTTATTACAGTAATTTATCTTTACATGAAATATAATTACACTTTTTCTTGCTGTCTTCCTATTTTGAGTATCTTCCTGGTTGGTCCCAAGTTTCAGTCGTTCACAAGGACTGAACCTTTTAGGCTACTTGTAAAAATGAGTATTTTCTTCATCTAAGTTTTTTTTAATAACATTTACTTTTGTCATACGCGATTGAGGTAACCTAATGAGCATAACTTGAAATTGTGTAATTTTGGATTTGAATTCTATCATTTCTGGATTGGATTACTAATGAGTTAGTAACTGTTGAATCATTTGACCGAACGAATCAGCTCTGCGCGGAAAACCAGGAAATACAATGAACAGCTTGGATGCAGCTAGATGATTTGGACTTATCAGATGACCTAGCCCTTTTTTCCCATACGCACAAGCAAATACAGACAAGGACATCTAGTGTGGCGACAGCCTCTTAGTCAGTATGTCTCGACATATACAGGAGAAAAAACAAGATCCTCAAATACAACACACAGAACCAACCTAACCACACTCGATGGAGAAGCTCTGAAACAGGTGGAAACTCACGTACCTGGTCAGCATCATCGATGAACGAGGTGGATCTGATGCAGACGTAAAGGAAAGGATTGGCAAAGCAAGGGCGGCACTTCTACAATTGAAGACAACACGGAATTCAAAATAACTGTCAACCAATATCAAAGTCAGAATCTTCAATACGAACGTCAACACAGTTCCACTATACGGAGCTGAAACTTGGGAAACTGCTACAACCATCATCAAAAAGGTACATGTATTTATAAGCAGTTGTCTACGCAAGATACTCAGTTTCAGTTGACCGAATACCATCAGCAACAGCCTACTGTGGGAGAGAACAAACAAGCTTCCAGCTGAGGGGAAAATTAAGATAAAATGCTGAAGGTGAACAGAATATACACTACAGAAATCACAAAACAAGCCCTATCTTGGAATCCTGAGGGGAAATGGAAAGGAAGATGATCGAAGAATACACGGTGTTGGGAATTACAAACAGACATTAATAGAATGAATAGCGACCAGAAAAGATTATCCAGGACAGTTGAATGCGTCTACCCCCTCCAGGTCGTTAAATATTGAGGCAGCAACGAAATGATTAGCAGATTAATGTCCTAAAGTAACTTCTTCCCTAACCATTGGAACAAGGGTGTCTAGGAGCAGTGAACAGATACTTAAATCCTATACCATTCAATTAGACTGACTGCATCTACAGTAAAATGAAAGCCATTATTAGTCACCAGTACCATATTGACATCCGACTAAGAACTTTTTTATTGCTTGGACTGTTCAGCCAGAATTCGGTGAAGACGAGAAAAGTTGTAGAATTATGGTCTATTAAGATGTTAGCGCTGCTCTAATAATAAACCTGATCCCAAAGTTCTACATTTGTTATGATGTAACTGCCTAATCTATAAGATCTTACGTGGGAGTCACATCATCATCTGCCCAACTCACTGCTTCGTAACAATTACCAATACATGATAGAGAACAATCTTAGGCTAGAGATAGAACAATATATTTAATATGAATAAAAGATGCGAGGTAAAATTCAGGAGGGACCACACCTTCATGGTCGAGTCATGCCATACGACCAACTCTAATTTATTCAATTCATTATCCCCGCCTTCTCCACTCTTCTGTATCACTCCGCGTTAAATGGTTAATGTCTATTTCTCATATTGTCTCGTGGTAGGGCCCATTGCCACTACACTACTCTCCCACCAGAATCAACGTGACGTTGGTTCGATACCAAATTGTGCGGGATTGTCTCCAGGCCACTTAGGAAAAGAATCAATGACTACAAGTGCGTAGTATTTGCCAAAAAATGAACCACAATAGGCTGCACAAATTCTCTGCCAGGCCTCAGAGTATACTGACCGTGAAGTCAAGTTCAAAGGATGGTTTTCTATTGTATGACATCTTCCACTATACAACATACTTGCATTTATTTCCAACCACCAACATGTGAGCCTCTCCAAGGATTACATCTTCTCAACACCTGAATGTCCACTGTGAACGTTTCCAAGGACAGGTATACGTTATGAAGGACGTATAACAACACGATAGTTTAAACAGAAACTATCACCGGGAGTAGTGGAAAATTCATCCCGCTTGGAAAAATATTCAAGAAATTTACTTATCAGATCTGCATCTCATCCTTTCGCATAGCACTGAGTATACGTCCGTAGTCTAGACGAGGTTCTCTAACGAGATCTGGATGACTCACCTGTTGGGTTCGTAATATTAACAGGATACATGATAAACCTAAGGGGAAAACGTGCAGCCGATTACAGAAATTGGGATTCCCATCTAAGCCGTGGCGCCTTTAGTGTTTGCTTCTAATTATCATACACAGTTAAAATCCACTTAATCTTTAGATTTATTAGAATTATTAATGGTCGGATTAAAATCTGTTGACAAGTTTGATTCACATTTCTCAGTATCAAAACTTATTTTTGTGTTTACTTGAAGCTTTTCAGATCAGTAACAATTCTTTTTACGAAAGTAGGAAGTACTCCCAATGGAGTACTTCGTGAAAACGACCTATCTCCAGATCACGAAAGACAGATAACCCTGATTAGTGCTGGTAACGTAATAAATATGGAAAATCTCGAAATTGCTGGGCACCCTGTAGTTTCTTTAGCCCCGAAACATCCGACACGAAAAACGTTTCGGGAGACTTCGCACCTGGCACACGTTAACGGAAAACAGCAAGCGTAGCCGTGTGCTATACATCACTGATATGATGACGAAAATTCTCTACCTCGTCGATACTGTGGATTCTAACAACCGACCGCACGAAGCAGTTCTGAAATTACAAGTGGCAAATGGAAAACCGATCGCCACATATAGCTAGCGATATGTGTACCTCAACGCAGGTTTACGCAAGCCGACCCATTGGATCTTCGTTGTTGCAGATGTTTCTGTGCCAATCATTGGTATAGATCTGTGAGATTTGATGGCAGAATAAGTGTTTGCGTCGTAAAGGTTTGGTGCGATTCTATGAAAGTCTCAGCTAGTTGCAAAGGATAACCAAATATCAATATGTAAGATTCATATATACGCAGTGACGATAAAATGAATCTGAGAAGTTAATTTATCTAAGCCTAACTTAAGATATTTTGTTTTCAGTTATAGACTTCAGATGTTTAGGAATAAAATATGTCTAGGAGGAAAAAAGGGATGAAAAGAATATCTAATGTGTCGAGGGACAAATCATGATAATAACAACAATAATAATTATAAATATGAACTTGAGCAGACTTCAGATATTAAGATAATTAAAAAGAAAACAAAATAGATGGGAAAAGTTTCAAATGTTCTACTTTACTCCACAGTCACCGGACCTTGTTTGTATAAATCATTAAGATACCTTAATAGGTCGTGGTGATAGCCGTTGGTTAATAGCTTAACTTATATGTATATAAGTATTTTGTGTTTAGAAATACAAAAACAATCAATATTGTGGGAATGTTGATGTTGGTATTATTTTGGGTTTAAATTATAAATTCGGTTAACATTTATGTCTGCAAGTTGTCCGTCTGAGTTGATTCCCAATGGCATCTGGATTAGTAGGCTATCTGAAAGCAAAAACATAACCGTGGGACGGAATTCCAACTAGTGTTACAGTTAGTTTTTTAAGTTTGATACGGTTTACTTAGTTGCATGGAGATTTCCTCGACTTCATTTTTACTTAACCGTGATTGAGTTTAGTGATACTACTAATACATATGAATGGTTATCAGGGATTCTTTTACGTGGAAATTTTGTGCATTTTGGACAGATAGTTAAGAGCAGTCCGTTAATCACGGGTGTGTTTTCGTAAGAGATATACTCTGTACTCAATGTTCCGATTTGTAATTTACTGACTGTTTATTTTCATGCTTACCGGCTGATGGTGCTTACATTGATATACAATAGGTGGCACAATCGACTTTTGGAAAGAAAATCCTCAAAAGACTTCTGAACGGAATCGTCGTTTCACTGCAATGGAGGCTCTGTAACAGTCTGTCTCGCATAGTTTAGTAGCGAATAACGAAAAGATTCGGACCTACATCTGTGTAGGTTCTTGGAATATCTTCCTTATTGTGTCGGTTGTGAAATGATACGATAGAATGCTGACGGGTAGATGCCGAAAATTAGAAAATTCCGTTTATAAGCCGGCAGATAAAGACAGGGTTTGATTTGATAGGCCTGATCCAGGGAGGTTCTTACTTGTGTTGTTGACATCTTTGGTGGTATTCCTTGTGATTGGAATACCCCAATACAGCTTTATAGAATCTCCTTTGAACACCTTCCATTTTCATCATTCCTGCAATTATTGTAAACTAAAATGCCTTATTCAATAAAGATGCATTTTGTACATGGTAATAATCTCTATTCGATGTTATTGAAAATTATCATTATGAATGTAATGAGCTTTTCTACTTTGGATACTTGAGATTCAGTTTGCTCGGAAATATTCAAAATGTTTCTATACCTCAAACCCAGGTCATAAAAGTGTTGAGAGGTCTCAGTTTGTGATTTTGTATATCCAGGTTTAGGTTAAGGCTGTGACCAATAGAAATAAATCCACTTTTGTCAACACTCACTGTCAGATCCCACGACACGATCCGTTCGTGTAATTTGCCTACGTCTTCTTGGATTACCACTGGAATATAGTTTTCCTTGGTAAGAAACGAGAATGAATTACCCACTTTTAGGTCATCGGCAAAATGGAAATGTTTACCGTGATGAAAGATTAAACACACGTCATTGATGAAAAGGCGAAAGAGTAATGAGTCAATCACATTTCCTTATATAACACCACTGGTTACATTAATATACCAATAGAATCAAGATCCCAAGTAAACGATTTGGCTACATTTGGCTAAAAAATTTGATCCAAGATAAGAAGGGATTACGTGTGCCAAATGAATAAATTTTTAGAAGTTTGTGAATGACTCTGTCGATGTACAGAATTTTCACTGACTGACCACCATGCCGCATCTGAGTAAATTGATCGAAAACCTTTAGGTGTTATGTGA